CACGGCGAGAAAGGTCGTAAGACGAGGCAAAACTTACTTCACGACCCTCTCCCTGAGCAACATCCATCGTGGGCTCATAAGGCCGAAGGACTGCCTGCGGAGCATTGTCAGTGCACGTTTAGCGACTGAAATTGGTGGGGGGGGAATCCATTTTGGATTGTACCTCGAGGATTTGCCCGCATATCCTGACTGATATTTTGATTTCTTTCTTTTTTTCCCAACAGTCTCTGGAATCTTCCCTGTGGCGGCGTTAAGAAGAGAAGTAATTGGAAGTAATTGTGGGAGTGGGCTGCACTTGCCTGCTGGGTTTGGGAGGTCTCTGTCCATTTTCAGGGAGACGGCCGGCCTCTTCCACCCATGGCACGATGAGAGATTTCCTCCATGGCGGAAATATTTTATTAAATCAGTGTTTGTCCTCTTTAAGAGAGGGGGACTTCAATTCCCAGAATCCTCCAGCCAGGATAATTTATTTAAAATGGTGGACTTCGACTCCCAGAATCCCCCAGCCAGCCATGCTTTAAGAGGGGAGGACTTCCACTCCCAGAACCCCCCAGCCCCATCTTGGCAGGCTAGGGGAATTCTGGGAGTTGCAGTCCACCCTTCTTAAAGTGACCAAGGTTGAGAATCAGGCCGTTCCATCCCTCCTCGTTGTATCCTCAGAGCATCAAGAATCAAGATGGCTGCTCTGCTCTGCTCACAGCCCAGAACCCCCTTTTTTTAAAGGTGTGTCGCCGCCATCTTGACTTTTTTGACCTTACACTGCTGGGAAACGCTTCTCTTTTCTCCTGGTTTGCCCCCCAAATTCTAATAATAATGATACCAATAACAAACAACAATGAAAAACAAAGCAACAACAATAATAATTGATTTGATAATAATAATTGACTAGTGATTTGTGATATGAAATAATAATTGATTAGTTATCTCATTTGCTGTGTACACTGTCATTTTTGTGAATAATAATAATAATAATAATAATAATAATAATAATAATTCTCTTCAATTTTGGGGGGACAAATGGTATCTGGAAGTCCCAGTGAAAGTGGTGAGGTCTGGATTTTCTGCCATTAAATAAAACAATATTTCTTTCTCTTTTCCCACCAAGTTTTTACTTTTTACAAACCTATCAATGCGTGAACAGTGTGGCAACTGAGTGTCATACATTTTAATACAAATAAAATAGTATTAATCATATTTGTTTCATTTCACAAGATTATACAATTCTGGTAACAGTACACATATTTTTATTAGATCTTTCATTATTTAGTTATTCAATATTTCAGTGTGTCATTTTTATACCAGTCACCCTATTCTGTCATACCTTTTCATACAAATAGAATATTATTAATATTCATTACATTTAGCAAGCTTATCTAATTCTAATAATTAGTAAAAACATTTATGTTAAATTAAAATCTTCCATTATTTGCTTATTCAATTTATAATCATTCCTTATCGGGTTATTCAATGTTTCAATATATTATTTTTATGTCAATCACCATATTCTGCAGGTTATATATTTTAATACAAATAAAGTATTTTAATCAAGTCTGATACATTTAGCAAACATTCACATATCCATATTGAATTATAATCGTTATTGATTCAATCAATCTATCTCTGTATATAAAAGCAAAATACCCCTCACACATCATCACAAAATCTCCAGAACCGTAAAGCCTACAAACTTGAAATTTGGCCCAGATGTTCCTCTTGGCTTTTAGGGGCTCACTAAGAAAGGATTCTTTGAAACGACCATCAGAGCATTTAGAGTATTTCCTATATTATTATTACTATGCTCTGATACTAAGGAGTTTGACTCCCCTTCCCCACCCGAAAAGAAATCTCTTCCAAATGCAAAACACAAGCAGAGGAGAGGAGTTTCACTTTCAGTTTCACAGCAGCCCCAAACAGCTTTAGTTCAGAGCAGTTGAGCTAAGCCACACCCAGGCTCCTTGCTGTCTCCTCCTTGCTCATACAGCAAATATGGTTTCAGTTTCCAAACAGCCCTCAACTCTCTCACACACTGACAGAATGCTAGACAGGTGAATACCGATGGAGGCTGGTAGGCAGAGGCAGAAATTTTCCCCCCTTACTTTCCTCCCCCAAAACTAAGCCTGACTACAGAGTTTCGTAGTGAAGCGCAGGTATCCAGCTAGTAGTTGAATATATTATTTTTATGCCAGTCACCATATTATTTAAGTATACTTAGTAATACCATCATTCAAATTCCAATTTCCCCTCTTATTATTACTTCTCCTTATTATATAAAAATGTGTATTTTATTAATTTCCCCCTCTCACTAGTTTCCATCCCTATTCTAACTTTGATTATGCCGCTACAGTATTTAACCATATTCCCTTTCTAACCATCATCTCTTAATCGCTCTAAAGCAGTGGTCAGGGAACAGGGGTAAATTACCCCAAATGGGGTAAAAGTGAAAATCTGGGGGTAATGAGGAGGTTGCGCTGGCCAATGGCGGAACTATCGGCATAGCAGCAGTTATTAAAACACCCTTGAGGCAAATTTATCCCCTCCACCCCACCCTTGTTTCCTGGGTCGGAAATGACTCCAGGCTAGATTCTGCAAGAGCCGCGCCACCCGTTTTTTAGGGGAAGGCGAGCTTCTGGCATAGGGCAGAGCATTTTGGGAAAAGGGACGCTTTCCCCCGCGCTGCGATGACCGCACGCTTTTCGCGCGCAGTTTGTGTCACCGTGGCTCCCAAATATCATCCTCCCTTCCCGCTTCCTCGCCCCCAGGCCCTGCCTGCCTGCCAACTAGCCAGCCAGCCCGGCTCCCTCCCTGAAGCCTCTCATCACTGCCAGGCACACAGGAAGCGAAGAGGCACCTGCAACTGCCGCCTTGGCCCCGAGAAAATTCCCAGAAGCCCTCGGGGAGCCTGGTGACATTTCATTCCCTGGAGCGAGCTATCCCGCCTTCTCCCCAGCCGCGGGGGGGGGGGGGCACCTCCTCCCGCCTCGACCTCCAAATTATGTGTCAGCAGCCTGAGGTGGCCGGGGAGGGGGAGAGGCCGGGAGGGGTAACGTCTGCGTTTATAAATTTTTTGGGGGGTAAGAGGTAAAAAAGTTCCCTGACCCCTGCTCTAAAGCTTTAACTGTTCGTTTCTTAGCTTGCCTCCCCTATTCCTCTCTTGGATCTTTATTTCTGTCTGCTTAAATACCAACATATTTCCAAGTTGGATCCGCTTCCAATCTCTTTATTTGCCTAGAGTTCAAATTCTACTCAGGTCGGTAATGTTTAACTGACCCCTTCGCCTTGGTCCCTGGGGGATATTTTGCACGAAAAGGCCAAATACGGCTGGTCCTTGAGTTATGATGGTTCATTTAGCGACTGTTCGGAGTGACAACGGCCCTCAAAACAAAAAGGGCCGATCGTGTTTCACCCTTACGACCGTGATGGCATTCTGTTCGGTCACAGAATCAATATTCGTATGCTTGTCAACCGACTTGTATTTATGATAGCAGGGACGGTGATCCTCTTTGGCGACTGCTCTGATTGGCAAATGGGGAAACAAGATTTGCTTACTGACCATATTGCAGTGATTCACTTAGCAACCATGGCCCAAAAGGGGACAAAATTCACTTGATGGCTGTCTCGCTTAATGATGGAAATTTGGGGGAGTTGAATTGCGGCTGTAGGGCAAGAACTGCCTGCAAAATTTTCACAGATTCCTTCAACTGCTTTGGGGCGTGGATGCCATCTTAGTTTGTGCCAACTTAGCAAATTCACCTAATCCAGGATTGCCCAGCATAAGACTGACATTGCTGGCTTGTTTGATGAGGGAATCAGGATCGCTGAAAATCTCTTCACATCCCAAAATACAATGAGTCCTTGATAAGTCGAGAACTGCTTTACTTTCACTGCTGTAACGATCATAAGTATGAAAAATGAGAGAGACAGAGAGACAAAATAATTGAGAGAGAGAAAGAGAAAGAAGTAAAGAAAGATAGAGAAACATAGAAAGAGATAGATAGAAAGATAGAGATAGAAATAAAGAAATATAGAGAAAGGTGAAAGAAAAGAGAAAGGGAGAGAAAGAAAGAAAGAAAGAATGAAAGAAAGAAAGAAAGAAAGAAAGAAAGAAAGAAAGAAAGAAAGAGGTAGACAGACAGATAGATGGAAAGATAGAGAGAAAGAGAGAAAGACATATACATATGTATATGTACATACGGAGAGGGAGGGAGGGAGGGAGGGAGAGAAAGAAAGAAAGACAGGCAGATAGATGGAAAGACAGAGAAATATACACACATACAGAGAGAGAGAGTGGAAGAAAGAAAGGTAGATACAAAGATGAAAGAAAGAAAGAAATAGAAAGATGAAAAGATAGACAGACAAGCAGATAGATGGA